GGACTTCCCGGGAGCCAGGGGTCCGGCGCCCACGCCACAGCCCAGCTGGCGTCCTGCCGTGGACGTTTCCAGTCCGTGAGGAAGGGTCCGTGAGTCACTCTGAGAGGAGCACTGCGGAGACAGCCTGTGCCTGCGGAGTCACAGTGCAGCCTGTGCGTGGTCTCGGAAGTGGGCGGGCACCTGCAGAGGGCAGCAGCTCCGGGACCGAGGCTGCAGGAGAAGGAACCGAGCCGAGGACAAGTGCTATTCCATTAGAGTATATTCATGATGGCATTGTACAACTGAGTGAGCACCACAAAGTGGACGGGAAGGCAGGAGGTGCGGTCCTGGGTGGCCGGATTGCACGTGAGCCAGGACAGAGCGTTGTACTGCTCCAGAACAAACCTGCCGAGAGAAGACTTGGGTCAGGGTGGGAGGGGATAGGCAGGCAAGGGGATCACAAATGCTAGCATCCTCCCTGAACTGCCCCAGGCTCTACTGTGTTCCTGCCTTTCACGGCCCCTCTTCCTTCTCGACCTGCCAGTCTCAGAGGGCAGCCTCTGGCCACAAGGGAACTCACATATGCTGTAAGCATAAAAGGGCCCTGCTTTGTAAAGACTTGGCATTTAAAAAGCATGTAAAATAGCTCCTGAATATCTTTATACTAATTAAAAAATGCAGAGAGCTGAAATATTTTGAATATATTTTATGTTAATCCTAATATATTTTTCATATAATTGATGAATTTGCCACTAAAAGTAACCTCACTCATTTTTTAAAATTATTTAATGTGGCTACTAGAAAAGTTTTCATTAGCTATGTGGCCCACGAGGTGAGGGAAGCCTAAATCATCATGAGCCGGTTCTTGCTGAACTGTAATTCCCAAATCATTTAAGAATCCGAAAACATTAGAAAAAGCTTGTATATTTTCTCAACATACATGAAGAATGCTTATGGCCTCTTAAAATGCAAGAAACTTTGTACACGCTTCTGAGAGGCATTCCCAACTATGGAATTTTTGTTATAATTAACTGCACTTATAAAATTGATATGAGAGGCTAAAGATGTTTGCTTTAAGTTCCAGACTGCCTTCTAACTACCCGCCCTTCACTCTGACCTCTCTGTCACCATGAAACGCCTACGCTAAGCAGGCAGCAGTGCCAGCTGCACCTGCAGCCACTGTCCCACTTAACAAGCCGCAGCCCTGTCTGCCCTGCGGCCTGGCTCAGGCTGGCAACGTGTGCCACTGCACAAGGCAGCATCTCTTCCCCAAACCCCGCACCTCAGTGAAAGCCCTGGGAAAACCAAGAGCAAAGGAAATAACTTCAAATGTGCCGGTATTGCCTGGGGCTGCACCCACCTCAGAACATCAGATGTGGTTTTGGAGTCGAGAGGATGTGGAACCCACTGGGAGTTGCGGGTGGGAAGAAGTTCGTCCGTCTGTGCTACAGAGATGTGGTGATGCAGTGACGCCTGCGGAGGAGCAGAGACAGTGACCTTCCTGGGCTAGCTGGCCCTGGGCAGAGAGAGGGCCCGCCCAGGCCCACCAAAGGAGGTGCTCTTAAATCAGGGCATCTATGAGCCTGTGAGTTTTCAGATGCTGAATAACCCCAAGGTGAGCCCACACACCTCCATAACCTAACGTTGAAGATAAAAGCTGGCATTGTCAATGACTACATCATGTGTCCCTCGAGGTCTTATTCTACTGCCCCACTTGAATTTAAGTGGTCACTGGATTCAGTAGGTGCCAGCATGCTCCATTCACTATAAAGTTCCCCATCCATTTTTAACTTAATGGTTTTAACACAGTTTTATTTATTAAACAGCTAAGAAATATTATATATAAAGGAGAGGCAACAAAGTTGCTGGAACCTTTCTCTTTATTTTTCAATTTTTAGGTTAATGAATTGCTGCTCTGGCAGCTACAATAGGTGACTGGCTTTCCAGCACCATTATGAGCCCATGGACTTATTTCATCTGTGCCGCCATCATTCTTTCTGATGACCAAATGGTATCATCCCTGGGCAATGGAAACCCCCACCGGGTCCCTTTGATAGGACTCTAATGATCTTGGGCGGGTTCCTTGCTTTGAAGGATAACAAGGTGTCTCAGATCTGAAATCAGTCACCTCTTCAAAGAATTCTGGTTCTTTTGAATGACAAATGGTATTCAGGAACTATGGTCACGGCAACAGAGGTGTTTATTGCTAGGAAGTTGTCATTGCTCCTAAGACTTCCAGAAGACAGAGTTGAAATATGTATTTACATTTTTAGAGAGGAAACAATAAATGTAGGGTCATACTGACAATTTTCATTCAAAAATTAAGATTACATGAATTTTCATATAACTTCTTTGAATTCATAATAATATGTTAAAGTCATTAGGGAAAAAAATTCCTTCAATTATTTTTGGTTTTAACATTCTAGGGGTGTGTGTATGTGTGTGTGTGTGTGTGTGTGTGTGTGAGATACATTACTGCACAGTAATCTATACTCCACAGATAATTACATAAAAATACTTCTCAATTTGTTATGGACAACTAGTATTCCACTACTATAGTTTATTCAACCAGCCCCTACTGGTGGATATTTCAGCTGTTTCTAATCTTTCACATATATCATTTTTTGTTTTTGCCAAAGTTTCTTTTGAATAGATTTCTAGAATTGGGACTGCAGCATCAAAAGAGAAATGTGTAGGTCATAGAATCTGGCTTCTCCCACAGCCTAGCAACAGAGTTCTGTTGTCAAACCTTGGGGTTTTTGCCAGCCTGTGGCTGAGAAATGGATTTCTTTCCAGTTTCCTTCATCCAAACTGGAAGTGGAATTTCTTTTGTATTTAACCTTTGATGAATGCAGACAGCCCATGGCAGGGAGGAAGGACAGCTAGCTGTCATGTCCATGCAGGCCAACTTCACTGACAACAGCGCAATGGGAACCGGGAGAAAGATACGATACAGACTCCGTGTCCATCCTAGAGGTGCCCTATGGGCCCCAGTGAGTCCCTCCTTGGGTTAATGTAATTCATTTCTTTGTGACATGGTTTTGGGTTCATCGCCTAAATCCTACTCTCCACTTATAACTGTAACTGAAATATCCTCAGAGTGCAAGTAGAATGTGAGAGAAACGGGGAACAGAATAAGATCATGGTGACAGAAATTTCTAACCAAAATTGAACTTCAGCAAAAGTTACTCATCCCATCGCCTCCCCCCAAACTTCAAACCTGATACCAAACCAACCTTTAGGAAGAGGGGACACTGGTTCTGAGCCTGGGGACACGATGACCAGAACCACTGGGGCAGGTTCTCCGCTTTGGCAGTTGACACGAAGTAGCCCAGGGCCAGCGGCTGCTGCTTCAGCTCCTCCGGAGCCTCTCGGGAAAGAAGGCGCTCGCCCTGGCTCTGCAGAACAAGCCCCCGCAGGTCAGCACTTGTCACCATCACTCTTAGAGTCAACTTAAACAGCACACTGAGATATCATTGACATAACACTTAGATGAGCTTCGGGTGTATCATGTCATAATTCATATTTGGGTATTTATATCTATTGCAAAGTGATCACACAGTAAGTGGTTGACATCCATCACCACACATAGTTACAAAACATTTTTCTTCTGATGAGAAGGCTTCAGATCTACTTTCTTAGCAACTTTCAAACATGTGACCCTATTAATTCCTAGTCACCATGCTGTGCATATGTCCCGTGACTGATTTGTTTTGTAACTGGAAGCTTGTACCTTTGACCACCTTCACCCTTTTTATCAGATCACCCTGCACACTGTGGGGAGCAATCCCCTTTCTGGCAGCATCGCACCCCCAAATGCCAGCTAACTGAGCAAGGCCAACAGGGGAGGCACTGTCTGCTGCACACAGGTATCTGAGGGAAAGTACTGCTTTGGCAGAAGGTACCAGCGAAACCAATGACATCAGTCAATTAAGTGCAAATTTTTTTTCTTTGGTTTCTTGTCTGCAGAATGTTAACTGTTGCGTGGCATTACTAGGTATCAAACAAGAACTGCAGAGAGCAAATCTCTGACAGGTAAAGGTATCTACTCTCATGTGCCAGAAGCCAACCTCAAATACAGAGTGCACCTGGCCATCTGCTGTCAAGGACACTGCCAGGACACGCAGCCCTTCCCCACTGCCTGCAGGGCGGGACACCGCCGACCTGCCAGCGGGGTGAGCCGCTGCTGGAGAAGCCTGTGTGAATGTCAGCAGACCTTTCCTGACAGTAAGAGACTCCTGTGCATTTCTGAAATTGGCATTTCCTCACCTTTGATTCTTTCAGCTAGCTTCAAGAGATGGAAATACTAGTATAGTTTTCATGTAAGCAATAATAAGTAATCTGTTTTCACGAGCCTTCTGTTTCAAAAGGGAAAAATTCCCAACTACTAAACCAAGTTGTATTATATCTGAGATGGTTAAAGATAAAAACTTACTACAATCTTGAACAAATTCTTTCCCCTGTTGTAATGTCTTAACTGGGTATCGAAGAATTTTAATGGCTCAGAAAGAGGAAATGCTAAACACCTCTCAGGGGTCACTGGCTATAGGTGCTATGGACTGGGAAAGGCCACCTGACCAGCTAGCTTCAAAGCAGTGCAGTTTACCTGTGGCTTTCAGTGAAAGGCTTTATTTAGGGTTGGGGGCTCCAACAGAGAGAGAAATACAGCACACCTGCTTCTTCTAAAACTAACAACACAATTCAATCACCAACGCTAATATATAAACTGAATGACAACTATCAGTAGTGGAGGCAGTGCTATCATCTCCATTTCACAGATAAGGTAATTAAGGCTGAGAAGGTAAAAGGAGCTTGCGCAGAGCCGCAGAGCTAGTCAGCCACAGACCTGTCACTCAGAGCTACATTTATCCATTTTCAGGGCATGCATTCTTGGCTGATGATATGCTTGACTTGCCTCTAGAATTCACAGTAATCCTACATTTAAACTATGCAGTGTAAAATTTGTGTTCCTATCACAAAAATCTCCAGGAAACTATCATTAGCTGGGAAATGACTTTCTGGGGAAATAAAGACATTTAGACTCTCTCCTTCCAGGAGGAGGTGGGGGCAGGCAGTCTCATGAGGGCAGCCATGGAGTGGACTTCCCTGGTTTCACTGCGCTGTGACTTAGGTTTCAATTCTTCTTTCTCTTGGTTAAACTCAGGGCTGGCGATAAAAGTGCCACCTGACAGAAACCTAAGTCCTCTCATACACCTTTGGGTCTAAATGAGTTGAGCAGGGTTGCTTACTATACTTGTCCAGTGTAATATATTAGACATAGCAGTTCTTCTGTGTCTTAACCCCTCAGTCTCTTAATATCTACTTTAAGTAAAAGTACAATACGGTGATAAAGCGTGAGTCCTCAAGCATTTAAACAAAGCATGAGTAATGACCGAGCCTTTGACTCTACAATCCATATCCCTATGACATTTAAAGATGAAAGTGCTTGTAAGCTCTGTTTTTTCCTTAACCCTCTAGCATCAACCTGAGCACTTCTCCAAAGGCAGCCTCCTGCGGGCTGGCTGCAGAGATGGGACCACATGCCACGGCACTGACACAGGAGTCAGGCTCCTTTCAGAATAATTACCCATAAACACTGTGCTCTTCCGTTAACATGGTTACTTTGCATTTAAATAAGCAGGACTATTGACCTAGCCTTTAAAAAAAACCCTCTCTGGGCAAAAATTAAAAATAACTGGGAAGCAGCAAGTAACCAAAACTAACTTTTGTTAAGAAAACAGTGATTGCACACAATCCTTCCGGCATTAATAAGACTACTCTTCTGAAAACTATTTATCAGGAATAATATACTTCTTTCAAATTCCCGCTTTTAATCGAAATGGAACAACTACAGCATCACTTTCCCATTTATTTTTCTTGTACCAAGGACCAAGACCAGTGAGAAGGAAGGTGCCTGGAGTAAAAAGTTGGCCATGCCTCTAGGCTATGTTCCGCAGACTGAGATGGTTTTACACAGCCCGCTTCCCAGCATCCTTACCCGGCTGTGCTGGAAGTGAGACCCCACGCCGATTCCAGAAGGAGAGCCGGGGGAAGGGACAGGGGAGGAGTTGGGGGAGGAATGGAGGTTCCCAGTAATTAATATGCCAATGTCATTGTCCATATCATCTGGGAATGGTAGGTCAACAAACATGTCATCTAGAGGAAAGGGAGAAAAAAAAAAGCACAAAAATTTAGAATATGATCCACATCCCCAATTAAACAATACACTCTTTTGGGGAAGCTATGATTATTACAGGCAGGTGCTGTAAACAAATTAGTAAGATTTAATGTGTGTGTACTGAGTGCAAGGTGCTGCAAATTATTCTTTTACTTTGCACCCTCTCTGTGATATCCTAATGTGAGTATTAATTGAATGAAGAAATAAAGAACATAAAATAAAACTCCACATTCTGTATAGACTCCAAAAGCACATAAAAAGGTTGCAAAACAACTAAAGAAGCAATTTAATTTTTAAACAAAGTAAACATTGACACCACCTAAGAAAACAACAGACTCCATCTATGCAGCCCATTAGCCTCTAAATCCTAAGGCTGAATGAATGCATGTTAATAGGTGTGAACTCACCCTGAAACTGGAGGCCTATTCCACAAGCAGATCAAAGCACACACTTTCATTAAGAAATCCTCTCCCATATTATAAAAGTAAGATACTCTCACAGCAGAAAATTTGGAAAGAAAAGTACAAAGAGGAAAACCACCGCCCATAGCCCAATCACCGTGAACACTGGTGCTATGATTCTCTTTCTCCTCTTTTGTTATCGCATTGTGCTCACACTACATATGGTATATAGGGTCCATATATAGTGTGGTGTCCTTTTACCTTCCCCCTTTAACAGGAGTAAATGCTGGTAGCTGTAAAAAACTCTTTAAGAAAAATGAAAATAGCTGCATAATATTGAGCATTTATAGTTATAAATAACCATTTCTTAATGAATGCCTTAATATATTGAATAAAAAAAAACCCTATTAAGAATAATCAAGTAAAAAGTTGTTTTTGAGCAAATCCTACTCACAGTGATTAGCTAAAGGCAGTTGCTACCATCACATTGCCTAGTAGTCTTCCTACTTTCAATTCAGATCAAGAAATATTTATTGAAAGAGTAACACCCACATACAGTACGCTACCAAGCAGATACTACTTTTGGTCTTTCATGAAAAACAAGAGGAAGTGAATTCCTCAAAAGAGGAAAGTATTTATTTGGTATTGGTAACAGAGCAGACCAATTAAATCTCAAAAACCAAACAGATTCTCCAACTTTCATAAGCCACTCTTCATACTTCATGTGTTATCACAACACAGACCTGCCTACAGCAGGCCCCTGACTCCACACTCTGGCTCTGTCTCTGGTGGAAGAAGCCGAGTTCTAGGCAAACATGGTCCCCACTCACCATTGTTGGGGCTAAACCCATCTTCATTGGGATAGTTGGCTGGAGCCACTTGGATGGTTGAAGATGTCGGGAATACCAAGATGTGTGTACAAGAAGCATCTTGAGGGGTGTTAAGCTGAGATGACTGCATGTTTAATGCAGTACTTCGGCCAAAAACAGAGCCCATTGTGACAGCATCTTAAAAAAAAAAAAAGTATTAATTCCTTTTGTGCAGGAGTGAACAACTCCAGAAAGGACGTGTTTATGAGGACCTGAGCTGGAAAGGTAGGAGCCATGATGAACACACATTTAAAGTTGAGCCCAAGTGTTTAAATATCTTTAAGAAACTGACTCAGAGCATATAGATACAATAACTAAAGCCTCATTTCATATTGGAAAGGTTAAGATAAAATTGGACTGAGTCTACCAAATATGTTTTAATTATTTATATAAGACGTATTTATAAAAATTAATCTCCCACGTCCCTTCCTCCTGTGGTTGCTCACAAATTGTAAAGTACTATTTTCCTAAATGATACAATTCTGTAGAAATGGTACCATTTAACTAATAATTATTATAACTAACACTTATTAAATGTTTACTACATCCCAGATTCTGTGCTACATTATTCATTCATGTCACCTCATTCAATCATCATGGCCACCTCAAGGTAAGAACTATTATCCCCATTTTGTGATGAGGACAGAGCACAAATAAAGTTTTGTAATCTGCTCAAGTGGTGCAGGCAACAATCAATCTAAGGTCTACCGAGCAGGCCCCTGTAGGCCACCTGTCTCACACCCAATACTATTTACCTTTACAGGGAGTGAGAGGAAAGGGTCTCCCATTTATTGAAAAAAATACCTGGGTGGTAAAAACAGTTTTAAAAGTATAAAATTGCTTTGCCATAAAATTATAATAGCTTAATTGCTAATTTGTTAAAACAACAACAACAACACACACACACACACACACACACACAAAAAACCCTCAAAAACACTCTAGCCTGGCCATTGTGGCTCAGTGGTTGATTGTCGACCTATGAACCAGGAGGTCACTGGTTCGATTTCCGGTCAGGGTACATGCCCAGGTTGTAGGCACGATCCCCAGTAGGGGGTGTGCAGGAGGCAGCCAGTCAATTATTCTCAGCATTGATGTTTCTATCTCTCTCTCCATCTCCCTTCCTCTCTGAAATCAATAAAAATATATTTTTAAAAAACATACCAAAAACACTCTGTGGCCACAATGTTTTGGCTATCCACGTACTGGTACTTGCTGAGAATTTACTGTGGTCCAGGCACTAAACTAAATGTTTTACCCGTATGTGCCTCAACATTCATCCTCAACTTTGTGAGAGAGACGGTGAGTATGCTCTCTCGAGGCTGCTTAGAGAGTCTGTCAAACACCTATCTCCAAAAGGATATTCAAATACGTATCATGCTGGTGTCCGTTAACCACTTTTGGAGGGTGAGCCTGGCAACCTGGCAACCAACTGGGGCAGGCAGCAGAAACCAGCCATGGCTCTAAGGCCTCTCAGTCATAGCCAGAGTGCAGGCTCTCTCCAAGGGGTGGACAACAAAGGTGAGAAAATCACAAACTACATCCCTGGGAAGAGACCAAGTGGTTTCCATTTTTGAACCTTAAGTACAATTTCCTCTTATAAAAATTAACAATACAGATACATTCTACACTTGTCTATGAACTAAAGTTTGAGGTACGAACTGATGTGATGCGTCATTAATTAAACTGACAAGAAGAGCTTTACCTGGCATCACTACAAAGGACCCCTGGGGCTCCATGGCAACCAGGCAGGCACTAAGGATAGAAGGAGAGTCTGTGGCAGAGATTCCACACATCCGGCACATGTCCTTGAGCCGTTTACTGATTGTCTGCAGTGAACATTCTCCAAGGAGGATACTCCAATCTGAAACCAAGTAGCACAGTTATTAGTATAAGCAGTCTGTAGGAATTCATGTTGCTGTGAGGTTTGCGTGTTTTACCAGTTTTGCCTGGTAAGTGAATTTCCAGGATTGGGCCTTCTGGGAAAGTAGCTTCCCACAGGTTCCTCTCCTTGCTACAAAGAACATGTTGCTTGACCTTTATGACACTTCATTAACAAAGAAACAAAGGCCCACTATTCTGCAGACTGCAGCGCCGACTGAAATGGCCTGTGAGCCTCCAGCACAGACCCAGGTCAGTTTACACCCTTCAGAAGCTCTCTGGTGAGGCCACCAGTCTGTTCTATCCCTCCTCCTCCTCCCCCTCCTCCTCCAGGTCTGGCTCTTTCACAGCCCCTAGCAGCACTGTCTTCACAGGTGAGGACCATTAGGATAACCAGTTTTGTTTACCACTTGCTGTAGGCTGGCTGTTTCTATGCAAGGCGAAAGGCAAGCAGCAGCAGCAGCAGGGGGAACCTTTCTCAGAAAGCCCCAAAGCGCTAACAAACAATGGGTGTGAGGGAAGTGCTCCAAATGAAGCTGCAATAATTACGCTGATTAAAAGTTGGCACAAATTTTCTTTCTAATACTTGTGTATTGCCCCCAAACAAATGGCATGATGTCGTCTCAGAGAGCTATTATGGGTTATGTTAACTCTGGGAAATAAAAAGTACATGGTCACACGCCTGCCGCCAAGTCACATGCCACTGATGACATGCCACTCCTGCAGGCTTCTCTAGCTCTACATGTTTTCAAACAAGCAGTTCTTTCCTGAAAGAGGAGGTGAAAGGAAAAGTTTTCCTATTTCATATTCCTAATGAGCCTCAAACTGAAGTGGCTGAAAAAAAAGTGGCCAGGAACACAAAGCAGTATTTTTTAAAACCACAGAAAAATAAAGTAGATTAAGGTTTGTATTTAAAAATCAAGTAAGAAGAAAAGGTGGTATAAGGATTTCTATCACAAACACACTGGTGATAAAGAACGAAAGTTCACCAAGCTGGCTGACATCTACAGGTTCCAGCTGACTCTGCCCACAGAAACGATGCGTGCAGGCCTCTGGTCCCTGAAGGAAGGACCCATAAGGCAGTGATTTCCTGTGTGCTGGGCTCTTCTCTGTGTCTTCATTCCTTGAAAACACATTTTCTCTTGGTCACACTTACACCCTTCCCTCTCAGAGGCAAGAGGAGTGTGCCTTCTAACAAATCACACAGGGCAGGCAATGGCCTAATAATTCCACAAAACACTAAGTGACTAGGCTACGTCTGGATCCCCTCTTCTTCTCTATTACATTCTAACTTTCCCCTAGGATTAAGAGTAGCTCAAAACCTTTAAGAAATAAGATTGACTAAAAGGCAGACTAGAAGAGAAGATAGGAATTCTGACAGAAATAAAATGACGAACCCCCTAATGTAATAGGCCTCCAGGCTACTGATATCAGATTCATTATAAGTATGATAGTCTTTAAAAAATGAAAATGGTACTATCTTCTATTAGTCTGCAATGTAATTTATTACTAAAACAATGTATGTACAATGGGTTCCTAAGAGAACTCATTTAATACATATTATATATTTGTATAATTGCTG